CTTCCGTTTCCAGTACATGTTTGTTCCCCGTGTGAGGAGCTTTCGACTTGACTCGGGCACATAAGCTTCGCGTTTTAGAAAGTGTTCTTTCTTGTAAAGAGATAAGGCGTTTCTGTGAAAGGCAGTCAGTGGAAATCCATTTGCCAAGTTACTGCCTCCTGATCACAGAGTGGTGACAGGTGGGGGCGTGCGGGGTGACAGCAGAGGACCTACTTACGTAATCCGGCAACCGAGGAAAACGTCTCTTAGATCTTTCTTCTGTGGCTGGGATTGCAGCGGCACTGACGTCAGGGGGAAAGAAGCCTCGCTTATCTCCGATGAGAAACGGGGCGGCAGTTCGGAGGAGGAAACCAATTTGGGGACCTCTGAGTTAAATTGTTGTCACTTTTTAATCTGCTTAATTTGCTGCTGCTTTCCCGCTCTGAGCTGTTTCCTGTGAATCTGAATTTACGGAACCCCCGTGATTCACCGTTATACATTGGTCACCTGTCACTCGCAGCAAGCTGCTGCCACTTGTTTTATAGGTCACCTGTTCCGTGAGGACCTCCTCGGGAACACACACGTCCGCGTTCTCATGTGCGGATTTATACCCTGTGTTCGGCTCTCACCTGCCACACGGACTTCTCGAGCTTTGGAGCGTATGTATGCCCCACCCCCCTTGAGTTGCACATGTCCTTCGTGTCATAGTCCCTGAGAGCACGGGGGCAGAGCCGGCTTGGAGTCCCATTCCTTCCACGTAGTCGCCGCGAGACCTCAGGCCAGTTATTTCGAGCGTCAGTTTCATCCGTAACTGGGACAGACTAGCAGCCTCCAGCTAATAGGATTATATGTGGATTAAGTGATAGGAGTATAGCATTTGCTGCCTCCCCTGCCAGGCAGGACAGTGCCCACAGGTACGGCTGAGGCGACGGCCCGAGGAGGGCCCACGAGGCAGCCGAGCGGGACTTTCGGGGTCGCAGTCACCAGTGGTTTAGCACGTGTGCTGGCGGACTTGACGTGAGCGCTGCCCGCGCTGGCCGGTCGGCAGCATTGGGGACCGGGGGTCGGACTGTCCCCATTCCCTCCGAGCCACCCTGCAAGGAGATAGCGTTATCCCCGCGTGACAAGTGGAGAAATGCGGGCGCCTGCCCGAGGTCACACCCAAGGTGGTGACAGTTCTAACCTGGGTTTGGTCTAGCTCTGTCCCGTTCTGGCTTCCACACCCCGTCCCGCTGGGACCTGCAGTCCCTGGGGGAGGAGCCCGGGGGCCCCGTAAAGGGGTCTCCTGTTCGCGCCCCACTCTGCAGACGATGCGCCACAGTGGGGGGGGCCAGAGGGCCCGCTGCAGGAGGACCCGCCGTACTGCCGGACCCAGGGGGCGTGCACGCACCGTGGACAAGCGCCTAAGCCGTGGCCGAGGGGGACGGGTCAGCGCAAGCAGCGTCCTGCCTGAGTCGCCCACTGCGGGGGGACTCCCGGTCTCTGCCCACCCGACTGGGCTGGCCGCCACGCTGTGACTCCACATGACTTGCTGAGCACGTTCGTTTGTCTCCTTTCCCTCGTAAAGTCCTACTGAAGTGACAGCAGTCAGTGAAAACGAACACGAAAGGTAGTCTTGCTCAAGAAAACCAAAAACTTAGTTCTGGGAAAAGACCAAAAAAGCGGGTAAACCTTTGTCAGATGTGTTCAAGAATGTCACGAGTGACAATGCAAAGCTTTAGAAATAAGGGGGGAGGGGGATCTCTAATCGTGAATGCGAAGATTTAGGAAATAGCATTTAAAAGAAACCTGAGTAGACCAAATTATATCAATAAATTTAAAAAAACTCGTTTCAGTCATCATAAAAGAAATTTAAAAGTAGTCTTAGTTGAATCATACACTTTAAATAGGTGAACTCTATCTATGGATGTGAATTATAGCTCAATAAAGCTGTTTCTTAAAAAAAGGAATTAAAAGTGCTCAGCCTTGGGGTACCTGGGTGGCTGTCCATTAAGCATCTGACTCTTGATCGCGGCTCAGGTCGTAATCTCATGGTTTGTGAGCCCACGTGGGCTCCGTGCTGACAGCATCGAGCCTGCTTCGGATTCTCTCCCTCCCTCTCTGCGTCTCCCCCGCTCGTGTGTGCCCTCTCTCTTTCTCAAAATAAATAAAGTCTAGGCACCTGGGTGGCTCGGTCACTTAAGCATCTGACTCTCGGTTTCGGCTCAGGTCATGATCTCACAGTTAGTGTGTTTGAGCCCTGCTTCAGGCTGTGTGCTGACAGTGTAGAGCCTGCTTGGGATTCTCTCTCCTCTTCCTCCCTCCCTACCTCCCTCCCTCTCCCTCTCTCTCTCTCTCTCTCTACCCCTCCCCCACTCACGCTGTCTCTCTCTCTCTCAAAATAAATAAATAAGCTTAAAAAAAAAAGTCCTAAGCCTTCCTTCCTCTGCCCCTGCCAAAGAGGGCCAGTGCTCAGCCTGTCAGTGGGTGCACTCTGTAAAACCTTCAAGGAACAAGTACTGTGTAAGTTACTTACGTGATTTTAGGGCACAGGAAAAGGTGGCAGCTTCCACGCTCATTCTGTGAAGCTAGCTTCATCCTGACACCCAGACCAACTGATGGCACGGAAGAAACCCGATGGTTAGTCTGGCCTTGAAAATACAGGCAGAACCCCTGCGTAAGCATCAGCAAAAGGAGCCACGCGCTGCATGGTGACCACGCTGGGTGTTGTCCTGGAAATGCAAGAAAACCGCAGCTTCTTAAGAAATCGCTAAGGAATTAATGTCAGCAGGTTAAAGGAGAAAACCCTCTAGTCATCTCAGTAGACACTGAAATAGCAATTGATAAATATGTGCCTTTAACAAAATCCTTAGTAAGCTAGAGAGAGAGAAGGAAACGCCTTTAAATTGCTGGGAACATACTTGACAGAAGCCGCCGGGCAGCAGTGAAGTGCTTCCTGGCGTTCGCCGTCAGGGCGGTCTCCACCCTGCCGACCCGTCGGTGCTTGGGACTTGACCTCTGTGAACTAACCTCGGTCCTCCCCGTTGCTTCAGCTTAATAATCTGTGTCCTAAGAACGAGGGAACGTAGGGGAGGGTGGATGCTTCAGTCGTGTGGTTCCCAAGATTAAACATGAAGCCATTTTGAAATGGGGGGGAAATCCCATACAATTTCAAGGTCATGGCGTTGTTTGTGACATCTCTTGGGCATTTATTGCAGCCCGTTTTGCACTCACTGGGGAGCCGGCGTGCCTTTAACCTACCCACACTTCTTTCTACCAAGTCTTTGACCGCCCTTGCCTAGCAGAGCTGATGCAGTTCCCTCCGCAGAGGTACTCACCTCTGGCTCGCTCGATCCCAAATGCAGAAAGCATGGAGAGAACAAATCGAATGCACTTCATTTATTTTACCGCCTCGTAACAAAAACAGGATCCTACTTCTTGGAAAAGAACTTTACCGATAGAGTGGGTAAACCTCATACCTGTAAAATTATATTTAAGCTTTGGCTTTGTTAATATTTGCGTTTCTAAGCACTTTAGGGAAACTTACATGAGTGTGGTCTTTCCCGTATACTTCAACTTCCTCGTTCCCATTTCTTGCTCAACTATTTTCAATGGTCTTGTAAAAAAATAAAAGATACCGTATGTATTAGGTAAACTTGTGTTTCAAAATGTAGAATAAAGGATAAAAAAAATTTTTTTTAAAC